ATGTGTAAGTGTATGTATGTATGTATGTGTATATGTTGTATGTGCTTATATGTACATGTATGTGTATGTATGTTTATGTGTATATAAGTGTATATGTATGTATATGTGTAAATGTATGTATGTATGTATGTGTGTATGTATATATGTATGTTTATGTATATGTTGAAAATGGACCATTGTAACTATGTGTATATCACTTTAAGAGCTCAGCAAGCTGTCTGAGTAATGTCTGCTGTGATTGGCTCATTGGAATTTCAGGCTACCAATAGCTGTTACTGCTGTTGGAGCACATGTTCAGTGTTGGATAATTAGAAGTTCACCAGCAATCCACAGAGATCATTAAAGCTGTTTGTTTTAAGATTGTTCAAGAGCCTGGGAGCGTGTCAATACATAAAAACCACTCTCAGCTCTATTAAAGAAAGTTTGGACCTGCAATCTCTCCTCTCGTCCTTTACCGGATGCTTGTGGTGGCTGTACCTTAAGAACTAACACTTTCATAAAGGGAGCACAACATTTAATGATCTCTGTGGATTGCTGGTGAACTTCTAATTATCCAACACTGAACATGTGCTCCAACAGCAGTAACAGCTATTGGTAGCCTGAAATTCCAATGAGCCAATCACAGCAGACATTACTCAGACAGCTTGCTGAGCTCTTAAAGTGATATACACATAGTTACAATAGTCCATTTTCAACACTCTTATAAACACTCAAAGGTACTTTGTGTACGACTGACTAAACGTGAAGTAGATACTGTAGAAATACTATTAAAAGTGAAAGTACTTTTGAACCCTGTACACCTCCACCTAGTGGTGGGATGCCTTTCTTTTTGCGGGTAAAATAATGAACATTCAAAATGGGAGATGTAGTTTATGATTAATGCTGGTTTTAAAAGAAGCATATGCTTATTTTAAGACATTAATGCATCTTTGAAGCTCTCACGGGCCACATTAAATGTTGTAGCGTGTCACAGTTGGCCTTAACGTTGTGCTCTAAACTAAAAAAAAGTCTGAGAATAAACTTGAACTAATAAATTATTCTTCTATTGTCTGAGCTATACAGTGCAGATATTTTAAAGTAGAGGTGGAATTGTTCTTTATGTTTACCAAATTTTTAAATCTTCCATTTATAAAACTTATCAAATCAGTTTTACGTTTGCCTCTTGTTGTCATCACAAACACACGTACTGCTTCTGACGTGTTATGTTGAAACTCCCTTCAGCTTTTATGTGTCTGTAGAGAAACCCTTGAAATCTGTTTCCTCCTGTCTCTTGTCTGCTGTTCAGTGTCAGAGATGATTCGGATCACAGTGCACCCACAGTCCCAGCAGGCCTCATCGGGGAGCAGGGTGGTACTGACTTGCAGGGCTTCTGGACCCCCTGGACTCAGCTACCAGTGGTTCAGAGGCAAAGAGGAGGTCCGTTCAACATTTTAATATGATTATAACAGGTGTTATGACAAAGAGATAATAAAGCATTTTATTATATGTTGAATATATTTTTGCTTCAGGTAATGGATGAAACGGGGACTTCACCAGAACTGGTTCTGTGTTCTTTAAGCCCGACTCATCAGGGTCACTACATCTGCAGGATCAACCATGGAGACAAATGCGTTTTCTCCCAGTGGGCTCATGTTCGTTTGGTCCAGTCTGCAGGTTCCAGTGCAGGTACCCCCCCCCCCACCCCCCCATATTAATTCTGTTTCTCTTCACCTCCTGCCAGGTGATGTATGATCAATCTTTTATCGCCGCAGACTGCAGCAGCCTGTTTCTAGGCTCAATGAGCGGGCTGAGTGTCACCGAACAGCCTCAGTCCCAAACAGCAGCTGAAGGAGACACTCTGCTCCTGAAGTGTAAAGCTGAGGCCAACCCCCCTGCTCGCTACGAGTGGTACCACAACAAAGTTCTCCTCCCTCGTGAAAATACATGTCTTCTCAAAGTGAGTCCACAAATCTGCAAAACGTGTTTTTTTTTCTGACTCCGTATTGGATTTAAACTAGTAAACGCAGAAAATTTTTAATAAATTAAATGAATAAAAGTTATTTGTGCTGTTGCTAAAAGTAGTCAGCGTCTCATCCAGTATTTCCTAAATTACTGGTACTTAGTTAATAGACCATTTCGTAGAGACAATTACTATTGGAGCCTAGCTCTTCCAGGTCACAAGTCAGCTGGTGAAACGCTGAGGTTTGCTATGAAAACACCACTGGAATTGTGCAAACTCAAAAATCAGATTTATAGCTTAGATGTTTGTGAAAAATCTCATCTATGATCCTAAAGGAAAGTTTACCATGAATCAGTTCAGAGCGAACACATCAGGGTCTGTATAACAGCCTAAATTTACTGCTCAGATTTCTTCAATTCCAGTAGCAACCTCAGTGTTTTCCCGGAAAAACGTGCAAGTTCGGCCCACTTCGCTCATGCGCAATTGTAACAACTTTTAACCAAGAAATGGTCTGTTACCTCTCATGTAAGTCATAGATGCTTTTTTGAATAATCTTGTGAGACAGCGCACCTTGATTGGTCCTCCTGAAATTTTAAATTTCCAAAACGAAGTTCACCTTTTTTTGTTTTGTTTTTATGACTCTTGAGACGTAGCCCTTTGAGATTTACAAATGTAGAGTGCCCTAAAG